CAAGAGAGACTTTTCTGTTGAAGGGTGATTGGACCAAAAGATCCAGTTTTGAGAAGGCTGGAGATAAAGGTGAGGGAAGGACCAAGGTCTGGGAGCCACGGGAAGACGTGGGAGGGAGGAAGATTGGCCAGGCCTTGCCCAGTGCATCGAGGATGAACAAGTCTGCATCCCGAGAGGGAGCTCAGATGGTGTTTGAAAACGGCAGGGCTTCAGACTAAAGTCACCCTCGGTTTTCAGTATGAGCTTTCACACCTTGGAAATGGATAAACTCCACAAATATGTCTTGAGTTAATCGTTGTGTTGATTGTCTAGATTTAAGGAAGTCTAATGTTGATAATGTTAATATTGCAGATTAAGTGTAAAAGTCTATCCTGGGTACATTTCCCCCCAGAGAGCCAGTCGTTAACCACTTACCAGCACTGCCTGGAAGAAGGGCCCTCTGCCTGTGATGGTGGGAGGCGCTGAGGGTGGGAGACCCAGCTTAACTACTATTGGCTGAATTCTGGTAACAGACACGTCCAAGAGTTGTAGAGGGGCGATGCTCTGTCCTTGGCCTCTGGGAGGCTGCTCCATCTCAGCTATTAGTCACCAGTCCTTACCCCGGGGGTGGACCCTGAAGACTCCTCTTTGGCATGGTTACCAGTCAGCCAGCATTGATTAAGGGCCTACTGTGTGCTAAGCACAAACAGAAATGGTCCCTGTCCTCAGGGAGTTCACAGTCTAATGGGGGGGAGACACGTGCAAACAACTCTGTCCAAACAAGATACATACAGGATAAATTCGGAACCATTTCAGAGGAGGGCCCTAAGGTTAAGCAGGGCTGGGAAAGGCTTTGTGCCACAGGTGGGATTTTAGTTGAACCAGAAAGGGGGCCGGTGAACCCCAGAGGCAGATGGGGGCAGGAGGGAGACAGCCAATGAAAATGCCTGGCCTGAGATGGTGTGTCATAATGTGAGGAACAAGAATTAAGTCATGAAGATGTCATGGACTTAGAGCCTTGTCATCTCCCCCTCCCCTATCCCAACCTCCCAGGTCATGCCAGCCACATCTTATTTTTCCTCTTCAGTTGTTTGCATATACTTTATCCTTCCTACTAGAGTAGAAACCTATTTGAGGGCAGGCTCTCAGTTTTATTTACTTCTTTATCTTAGTAGCTTCTTCAGTGCCTAGCATGGTGCTGTATACATTAGAGAGAATGTTTTGGAATGTGTTCATTTGTAGCCTCCAAAACAAGGAATTTTAGATGGCCGAGGATCCGGCCCCCCAGGTGGTCAGTGGGCACATGCTGTTTATCTGCGGTCAGTTGGGGTTTGTACCCTTTCCACAGTCTGGTATTTGGATGACTCCTGTTCTTCTAGAGGAGGTAGGGGAAGGTGCCGACAGCAGAGGGGAGCTCTGCCAACCTGAAGCCTGATTGATTGGCAAAGAAACAGCTGAACACACAGGCCCCAGGGCCTTTGGACAGGGGTGGGGAGCAGCTCAGGGTCCTAGAGTCGGAGCTGGAAGGGCCCTCAGAGGCCACCTGATCCATCCCAGGGCAAGAGACTGAGGCTGAGGTGATGAAGCCCAGGAGCACTGGGCTCATTAGAGGCAGAGGTGGGACTTTGGGAGCCGAGAGCCAGGGTTCTTTCTGGTGCCTCCTGTCTGGTGCAAGGCAGTAGGAACACGGCAGTGGGGATGAGCCTCCTGCCACAGCAAAGCAGCCTGAGCACCCCCTTTGACCTGAGCTCCCCTTCACAAGAGGGGCATGTCAGCCAATCAACTAGTACATTCCGAGGCAGCTAGGCAGCGCCATAGTGCACAAAGCGCCAGGCCTGCAGTCTGGACGACTGATCTTTATGAGTTCAAATCCAGTCTCAGACACTAGCTCTGTGACCCTGGGCAAGTCATTTAACTTGTTTGCCTTAGTTTCCTCATGTGTAAAATGAGCCGGAGAAGGAAGTGGCACATCACTCCGGTACTTTTGCCAAGAAAACCCCAAGTGGAGCCCTGAAGAGTCCAACCACAGTACATTCCTGGGTCAGCCGAGAGAAGATAATGATGTGGATACTCCCATTTTGTGTCTTCGGGAGAATGAGGTTCCTGGTCCATCGTTCACTCAGTCAACAAGTATTTATTAAGCATTTAACTCTGATCTAGAAGCTGTGCTCATCTCTGGGGTTACCAAGACAGTGAAAGAAAGGCCTCTGCTGTCAGGGAGCTTACCTTCTGATGGGAGAGACCATGTGTAAATAACTAGGTCGATTGCAGATCTGCTCCTAACCGGTGGAGGGCATTGGAGAGGGGAAGGACTTAGTGGCTTGGGGGGATGGGAAGGCCTCCTGGAGCAGGTGAAATTTGAGATGAATCTTGAAGAAAGGCAGGGAAGCTAAGAGATGGTGGGGAGGGGAGTGAACGTTCCAGGCTGGAGGGACAGTTGGTCCTGAGGCAGAGAAAAGGGAGAGGGAGTGTGGAGTTCATGGAAGAGAGGTAAGGGCAGCAAGAAGGCTGGCAAGGTGGGAAGGCACTAGATTCTGAGAGCTTTGCATGCCAAACAGAGGTGCTTATCTTGGAAGTCGCCAGGAGCAGCTCAGACCTAGGCTTTAGAGAGAAGGGGATGGGGTCAGGAGACAGGGAGATGAAGGAGAAAGCTGGGGAAACAGTGCAGGTGTGTGGGGATGAGGACCTGACCTAAGGCAAAAGAGGGACCCTGGAGGAGAAGTGCCAAGGTGGAAGTGGCAGCTTTTGTAAATGAATTGGCAGTGGGGGAGGGCGAGTGGGAGTAAAAAGTCATGGACGAGATTGAAGTTGGCGCTCCCTGGGTGCCTAGGAGGTTGGTGGAAGTTTGGAGAGGGAAAATCTTGAGTTCTGTTTTGAGCATGTTGAGTTTGGAAAATCTTTGGAGATGTAGCCTGGAGCTCTGGGTGGAGTTTAGTGTTGAGTAAATAGGCCTGAGAGACTTGTGAATAGAGATGATTGAATCTGTAAAAGCTGACAGGATCACCAAACATCACCAAGCATCCAGCATAGAAGAGTTGGAGAGTGGGGCGCAAGGGGTGTTCAATAAGGGCAAACATCTCTGGTGGGAGGGCTGCTGAGCCCTGCTCAGGGCTGCTCATCTACCTCGCACATGTCCCCCTGTCACCCAGCTCTCACCTGTGGCTCCTGCCCACCAGGCAAACCCCAGGAAAACCAGCTCAGCAGATGGGCTAAATCAGGTTGAGAGTTACCAAAGGGCCTCAAACCCGTTGGTGAATTAGGGTGAGTGTCTACCCCAAGCTGCTGCTGCTTCTTCTTCTTCTTCTTCTTCTTCTTCTTCTTCTTCTTCTTCTTCTTCTTCTTCTTCTTCTTCTTCTTCTTCTTTTCTTCTTCTTCTATTAATTTATTTTGATTTATCAACAATCACTTGATATGCTTTTGAGTTTAAAATTTTTCTCCCCCTTCCTCCCCACCACCCTCCCCAAGATGGTGCACAATCTGATATAGGCCATACATATACATTCCTATTAGACATATTTTCACATTAGTGATGATGTAAGTAAGAATTAGAACCAATAGGACAAACCACCAGAAAGAGGAAACAAAACTCAACAGAAGAAAAAAAAATAGCAATTAGCATGCTTCAATCTGCATTCAGACTCCTTAGTTCTTTCTCTGGATGTGGACAGCATTTTCCATCCTGAGGCCTCTGGAAATGTCTTAGATCCTTGTAATGCTGAGAAGGGTTCAGTTTATCAATCTTAGTCATTGCACAACGTGGCTGTTATTGTGTACAAAGTCCTCTTGGTTCTGCTCGCTTCACTCAGCATCAGACCATACAAGTCTTCCCAGGTTTCTCTGAAGTCAGCCTGCTCATCATTTCTTCTAGCACAGTAGTATTCCATTACATTCATGTACCCCAACTTGCTCAGCCATTCTACCCCAAGCTTCTGACACAACTGACTGACAGCAACAGTGACTAATAAGGCATCTTAATCCCAAGCACAGGTTTCCCTGGGCCTGCACTGGGGAGCTCCTGCCAAGTTTGCATGGAGCACTCAACCTTCATTCCAGCCCTTCAGTCGTTGTTCAAGCTAGTGCTTCACCTACATGTCTTTCTGTTTATTTATTTATTACTGGGAAGAAGTGAGCATGGAATGGATTTTAAGTATTTTCCGTTTTCTGACCCACGTTGCCAGGGCATGGTGTCAGCTGAGTCCCTCTGACCTAATATCTAGTGTTTAGAGATTGGATTTTTTAAAAAATTAATTTATTTTAAATTATGAACAATCATTTCCATAAGCTTTTGAGTTTTAAATTTTTCTCCCCCTCCCTTCCCACCTTCCTCCCCAAGATGGCACACAATCTGATATAGGCTATACATATACATTCCTATTAAACATATTTTCACATTAGTGATGTCATGTCTTTATGTTTTTACAGCAGTAGCATGAGCTACTTTGTCGAATGCTTGTGAAAATCTAAGCAAACAATATCTTTACTGGTTTAGTAACTGGTAAAAAATAAAAATAAACTTAGTTTAGCATGATCTGTTCTAGATGAAGCCATACTGGCTTTGGGGTGATTTCCACTTCCTTTTCTTGGTGTTTATCAGGCATCTTTTTAATGATTTTTTAAAATGAGTTTCCCAGAAATTGAAGTCGTGCTCACTGACTATTAGTTTGAAGGCTTTCCAAGCCCTCCCCTGCTGTGTCTTTGCCTTGAGAACAGAAGGACCTTGAAAGATAACTGGGAAGCAAGGAGACATTTCAGGGGGGCTCCTCCTAGTTACCGTTCCCATGAAAAAGTGATTGTTGATACTTTGCCTTTCCCACTCTACGTTTTGTTCCCACGAGTGGGGTATAAAAACCCTAACCCTCAGATCAGTAAATGAAGCATGGTCTAGACTTGCTACCCACCTGGCCCACGTAATTCTTTCTCTCTCTCATACTTGCCGGAAAACAAACATTGTCAGGGACATAGCTGCCTGTGACACACGCCTTTCCACCTTTTTAAAAATTTAATTAAATTTTTTTTTTTAGCAAATTGACATAAGATGAGAGCGACCTTATCTGCGCTTGATACTTCTGAGACTCTTTTCAAGCCTTTAGTAGTCTTAGAACTTGCCCGAGATGTCAAAGAAGAGACCAGGAAGTGGCTGGAGAAAAAAATTAATGAGAAGAAGAAAAATGGAGGTGAGTAAATTTAGGTTTTACTAAGTTTGGGGTTCAACCTGAATTGCTGAAAGTACTTTTAGAAATGTTTTGCATTTTTTTTTCCCAGTTACTGTCAATGGCCACTTTTAACTCTATTTGTGACATATGCGGTACTTAAAATGGAAGCAATTAAACTGTTTATCTAATGAAGGGTACTAAGGCATGTAAATACAGAAGGAGCAGCTCTCAGGCTAGAAGACAAGAAGACAAATATGGGAAAAATGAAATACGAGGGGGAGTCCTTGTAGAGGATGATCGGTCTTTTTCTTAGGTATTCTTCATCTCTAAAATACTCATTTTTTTTGCACATCATCATGACTGTCCCAGTAGGCCAAGATGATGGCCAGCATGGTGTCAAAGTTTTTGTAATTTAATGTTGGCATCGTTTTTCTTCATGTTTCTGAATTGAGCTATTTGGGAATAAATTTACTTACTGACTTTCGGAACAGTGACAATGAAATCATGAGGTAGAGACAGTAACAGAAGAGTTGTCACAAGGCAGGATGTGATGAATCATAAGTTTAATTATTCAGCCAAGGATTGATAGAAGAATTTAGAGGAAGGAAAAAATCCCTTTAGGTTGGAGTTGTTAAGGAGAGAGAGCATTAAGGAAGAAGTCGGATTTGAAGTGCACCTTGAAGGATGGCGAGGATGTGGATAGACTTTTGTTAGTTTTTGGGCCCTTTGGGCATTGTTCCAAATTGTCCTCCAGAATGGTTGGAGCAGTTCACAACTCCACCAGCAGTGCATTAGTGTCCCAATTTTTCCACATCACCTTCAGACAGTAAGCATTTATTAAGCACTTGCTGTGTGCCAGGCACTGTGCTATGCTCTGGGGATATAGTCCCCACCCTCAGGGAGATCACACCTGTCCCCCCTTTTCCTACCTTTCCAGTCTTGCCCCTTTACTCCCTCTCAGTGATTCTGATCTGCTCCTGGTGCAGACCACCATCTCCCGTCTCCCACTGTTTATTCTCCTTGCCTGGAAAGTTTTCCCTCCCACCCCCACCCCCACTTCTTAGCTATGCTGGTTTCCTTCAAGTCTCATCTCAAACCCTGCCTTCTACAGGAGGTCTTTGCTAGGCCCCCTAAATGCTAGCACCTTCCCTGGAAGATGGCCTCCCCACTTATTGTGGCCTCCCCACTTATCGTGGCCTCCCCACTTATCGTGGCCTCCTTACTTATTGTGGCTTCCCCGCGTATCATGGTCTCCGTGTATTGTGGCCATATCATGTATGTACCTAGTGGTTTGCATATGATATCCCCGTTAGACTCTGAGCTCCCTGAGGGTAGGGACTGTGGTTTTGCCTTTCTTAGTTCCCTAGCTGTAGTAGGATGCCTGGCTTACAGGAAACACTTGACATGTTTGTTCACTGATAGGCAGGCGATATGGGGGCAGGCTGTCCAGAGGAATACAATGAGATGAACAAATACCTCTTAAACTCAGCGTAGAATTGTAAATCCCAAACTCTAATGAGCCACACTAATGTGCTGAACCCCTAACAGAACATGTACCTTTTCAAATGAATTATCCAGCCAATCATTGATAGAACAGAACACTCAAGTCAAGGTTTATTAACAGCAATGATAACACTGGGTTAACCATGTGAGTCAGAATAAAATCTTGATCTTTTCTAAAATTGCTGAACGAGATCACAGCCAAGGAATAAAAATTCCTCAAATTAAGCCTGAACTTAACTGATAGTTCATTTGGTTGAGGGCTCTGCTTAGATAGTGATAACAGTGGATTAAAAAAAAAATAAACAATCTTGACCCTCCACTAATTGATTTAGACCATCTCTTGTCCCAAAACTTTATTCCAAATGTTATTATGATTTCAGTGTTTATATGAAAGGTTTTTGCATAAACTGAAGGAGGCGTAATTATTACATGTAAGTGAAAGGGCCCAGTGGAATTGGTGGGATGACTGGTTTTCTCCTTATTAACCTCTTGGCAATGAAAGGCAGCCTGTTGTGGTGACAGGGCTGGCTTTAGAGGTGGGAAGACGTGCGAAGTCTTGCCTCTGAGATGTACCATGGACAAGTCACGGTCTTTGAGGGCTCCAGGCTTCTTTCTGTGATCCTGTATTACAGATCAGTTGCCCATCTGCTTTGGCAAAGGGATTTTCTGTGTTAGGAGTTACCTATACCTGTGAAATCCCAGGGTGTCTGGATCAAAAAACAAATTAGGTGAAAAAAGCCTTTTGTAGTATCAAAATTCAGAAAATAAATTATTTCTCCCATAAGTATTGCAACTTTCATATTATTTGTGCTGATTATCAAAATCCAGTGGTCCTGCTGTAGACCTCTTTTGAGGCTGAGGGAATGAGATCAGGGAAAGCCTGGTGCACTGATGCTCACCTTGCCCAACTTTGGGGAGGCAAGGGTGTTGCTTGTGTGGCATCTTTGTGGTTGGGGTAAATATTTTGACTTGGGGAAAATCGCGCACCCAGGCAAGTCTTCAGGTGCCTTCAGAGCCATTTGTCTGCTTGTTTCTGGAGGCTGAAATACCTTCTTACCAAAAAAGATTTGTGTTAAAATTTGTGCCTTTCCTTTAGGTTCGTATGCTTTTTTTCCCCCCTGAAAAAAGCCTGTTCATCTGAAGAACTGTCACTTCTGTTGGGAAGAGGCCAGGGCAAGTCTGAATCTGTGGCTTGTTGGAGGCAGCAGCTGGGGTGGAGCACTGGTCCAAGGGGCTGGGGCCCAGCCCCTCCATTGGCCAGCTCTGAGAACTCAGGGCAAGTCGCTGTGCCCTGATGAGCCTCGCCTCAGTTTCCACACTTGTAAAAAAGGAGCTAATGATGTTTGGAATAGACTCTTACTCTAATGTAATGGCTCTGTGCATCATAAGCCAGAACGCTCAGGCGGGTGTGGGAGGCTCTTTGTCTAGATGACATCATTTGAGGCTCACCCCAGCCCTGTCCTAGGCACAGTTCACCCAGATGGGGCTAGAGGCAGGAGATGGAGCCAGGTCTCCCTGATTCCCACTCCACTGCTCTCTCCATTGGACTGCCCTGCCTCCCCACAGTCACTGTGTGGCCAAGAAGCAGCCACATCGTTAAAAATAGCTTCTCTTCATGTTGCGCTTCCCCTGCGTCATCTTGTCACCACCCCTCTGTGGGGTAGGGGCTGTTATGTCCGTTTACAGATGACAAGACTAAGGTCAAGAAAGGGTTATTCCAGGGGCCTCGAGGCCCCTGTGGCCTTCTAGGGCCTTGGGTGTGGCCTTCTGACTGAGTCCAAGTTTTTGGGTTGTTTTTTTTTTCCCTTGAGGCAGTTGGGGTTAAGTGGCTTGCCCAGAGTCACACAGCTAGTAAGTATCAATGATCAAGTGTCTGAGGTCGGATTTGAGCTCAGGTCTTCCTGACTCCAGAGCCGGTGCTCTATCCGCTGCACCACCTCGCTGTCCCCGTGTCCAGGTCTTACAGAATAAATCCTTTTGTGAGGGGGATTTGTTCTGGGAAGTTTGGATTCGGCTGAAGGGCCCTGCTCGAGGACCTGGAGGGCCGCGGGCGGCCTCGAGGCCAAAGGGTTCCCAGCCCTGGTTTGTTCTCTGCCTGCTGTGTAGCTCCTGAGCCCAGAACCTTGCTTGTTTATTGATTAATTGGTTAACTGACTTGCCCAGGTGGCTGAGATGGGCTTTGGTGCAGGGGCTTATGGCTCTAATTCCTGTATTTGAGCTCCCTTATAAAAGGGGTGCTAATGTGTTCGGGCCTGGTTGGTTTTGTTTGTTTGTTTGTTTGAAATTCTATTCATTTTCCCTTCCTCTGATTGCTTTTATTTAGAGACTTACTTATTTGAAAGCCTGATGTAGGTAGAAGAAAAGATAAATATCTCTTGTATTTTTTTAAGCATGCCTTTTTTTGTGCTTATTTCTTTTTTTAATATAAATTTATTTATTTTTAGTTTTCAATATTTACTTCCACAAGATTTTGAGTTCCAAATTTTCACCCCATCTCACCCCTCCCCCCACCCCAAGATGGCATGCATTCTGAATATCCCTTCCCCTAGTCTGTCCTCTCTTCTATCTCTCCCCCGCCCCTTCTCTTATCCCCTTCCCCTTCTATTTTCCTGTAGGGCAGGATAGACTTCTGTGCCCCATTTCCTGTATTTCTTATTTCCCAGTAGCATGTGAAAACATTTTTTTTAAACATGTTTTTAAAACTTTAGGTTTCAAATTTTCTCCTTTCCTCCCTCCCCACCCACCCTCATTGAAAAGGCAAGCAACTCAGTATAGGTTATACATAGGCAGTTATGCAAAGCACTTCCATGGTAGACATGTTGTGAAAAACTAACTCTATTTCCCTTAATCCTATCCTGCCCTCCCATTTATTCCATTCTTTCTTTTGACCGTGTCCCTCCTCACAAGTATTTACTTCTGATTACCGCCTTTCCCAATCTGCCCTCTTCTCTATCATCCCCCTGTTCTCTTGTCCCCTTCTCCCTCTATTTTCCTGTAGGGTAAGACTCAATTGAATGTGTATGTTATTCCCTCCGTAAGTCAAATCTTATGAGAATAAGATTCACTCATTCCCTCTCACCTTCCCCTGTTTCCCCTCCACTGTAAGAGCCTCTTCTTTGCTGGGTTTTTTTTTGTGTGTGAGATAATTTACCCCATTCTACCTCTCCCTTTCTTCTTCTCTGAGTATAATCCTCTCTCATCTGTACATACACATAACTTTTTTCCCTCCAACTACCCTAATACTGACAAAGGTCTCATGAGTTATAAATATCATCTTTTCATAAGCATGCCTTTTTACCGACATTTGCCTCTCTCCCCTCCCCTTTTATTTACAGGTGCCCAGTTGCTAGTTCGACCCTTGATAGAGAAGTGTGAAGAGCAAACCTTGGAAAGTCAGAATTTGTACCTCATCGGTGCCTCCACGATCAGGCTGTTGCTTGGAGCAGAGTCGGTGGGCTTAGTGAAAGAATGCAATGACAACACCATGAGAGTGTTCACATATGAAACCAGGCACAACTTCAAGGGCTTCAGTGGTGAGTTCTCCATGGCTGGCTTTTCTTGGCCTATGTTCTAGGTGGAAATAATATTTTAGGGGAACAGACTAGTGTCACCTGGGAAGCACAACAGACAGGTGCGTCCCATGGGGAAGGCTCACTTACGGTGTGGGAGTGCTGTACTTTTAGGATATGAAAAGCACATCTGTCACGGGACTTTTAAGATCTAGACCCAGATGGGATCTTAGGGGTCTTCTCTTTTTTGCTGATGAAATGGGCCCTGGCTGACACAAGGAATAATCATCCAAGGTAGGGATTTGAACCCAGGTCCTTGGACTCCTGAGGCAGAACTCTGATCATTGGACCATACCCCTTATTAATGACTTAATTTTTCCTGCTCATCTGTGATGTCTAGATAATCTATGTGCTGATTTGTTTTTTGCACTTTGAGTCCTAATTGTGTTTATTATTGGGGTTATCATTTGGGGGCGGGGTCTGGGTAACTAGAACAGTATCACTGAATTTTTCTTTTTAAACCTTGCAGTTTTTAAGCAAGAGTTAACAAACCCTTTTTATTTCTGTTTTAGATGATAATGATGATTTCCTTACAATGGCTGAGTGTCAATTTATTGTCAAACATGAGCTTGAAAATCTTAGAGCAAGAGATGAAAAAATGATTCCTGGCTACCCCCAGGCCAAGCTCTATCCAGGAAAATCAATCCGTAAGTTACTCAAGGCTTTATAGTTACTTATCCAAAGGGAAGTTTCCTGTGGGGTACATCCAAAGAGTCCTCTTTCTTAACATAGTTTCTTTGAATTATGTAAATACCCAGACTTTCATGATTATCTTTTGATTCCTGTTTTTATTTTGAATATTCTGTTTTTAAACCAGCCCGTTTTCTTCGAAGTGGTTCTACTTTTTAATTCAGAATGTTCTGAGCTCTTATAGTGGGCTGGCTAGTGTATACCTAGTTTAGATTTCAGTATGGACACAGGTGACCGCTAACACACCAACCAGTCAGTTAGCCACAAGTATTTGATGCCCAAAGGCTTTGCAAAATAGTATGATCAGAGAGCACAATAGTAACACATTTGTATGAGGGCTGTATGGTGACAAAGCCCTTTATATAAAGAACATGCCTTCCCTCAAGGAGTTTGTAGTCTAGTTGAAGATTTAGAACACACACGCACACATACATACACGTGAAGAAAGACTTAATGCTTACAGAATAGCCTCAAAGATGAATAAAAAGCTTGCCTTTTTAATGAAAATGCCAGTTTTCTCTTTCAGGGCCTTAAATAGGAAACTCTGTCTCAAGAAGTAGTAAGCAGGTTGTCAGCCATTATTTCTGGGCATCTTCCTTAAAGAGTTGTTGTTCATTTGTTTCTAAATCATGTATAATGTCAGATGAAAGTAGTGTGTAAGTTGTCAGACCTCATCATTTCCCTTCTGTTTCATTCTCTCACAAAGATGAGTCTTCCTATGGCCCATGGCAGTCTATGGCCACACCACGCTGAATGTGCCCAATCCTGTTTGATTGAGGAAGCTAAGCAGGGTCGGGCCTGGTTGGTACTTGGATGGGAGACATACATGTCCCACGGCATCGTTAGAGTAGTACATGGATGAAGAAGAAGTGGTTAAGACGTGAAGAAAGAGCCTGGCACACGTGTAATTCCGAAGTTTGGAATGCTGTCAAAGGAGTTCGCTAGAATTCCAGCTTTTACCCGTTAGAGTCGCTTATCTGGGGCGGCCAGAGGGAGGCACCCGTCCGAAGCAGATCTTGCCCTCTTTCCTCCCAAGCCCTGCCTCCCCCCGTCCCTGTGGGGCACCGCTGCCCTGCTAGGCCTGAGGGCACACCGTCTGCCTGCTGTCCTGCCCTCCCTGCTTGTCCGCCCCTACATCCAGTCTGCTGCCAAGTCTTTGCGTTTCTTCCTAGACCACGTCCCTTGGGTGTGCCCTTGGTTCTCCACTCCCAGTCACTGCCTTGGTGCAGGCCCTCGTCCCTTCCCAGCAGAATGACTCCCTTTGCCTTCCACTTCCCTCCCTGACTCCGGCCCTGACCCACTCAAGTCTGTCCTCTGCCAGAGTGGTTTTCCTAAAGGGCAGAGCCCTCTGGGGCTCCATGAGCACCAGTGGCTCCCTCTTAAGTTGGATCCTCCAGGGTCCAATACAAAAACCTCTCTTTGCCTTTTAAGGCCTTCATAACTGCCCACCTCCTGCCTTTCCAGCCTTCTTACACTTTATTCCCTTTCAGGCACCATGAGATCCAACAGCATTGACCAGTGTTGTACAAAAATGGTAGAAGTTCTTTCCTTGCACATGTCTCCTGAGCCTGTGCCTTTTCCTTGACTCTCCGCCAAGCCTGGCATGCTTGTCCCTCCTCACCTGGCTTCCCTGGCTTCCTTCGAGGGTCATCTCAGATCGTATCGTCTTTCCAAGAGGCCTTTCCCAGTTCCCCCAGTTGTGAGAGCCTTCCCTCTGATAGGACCTCCTGTTTGTGTCTTGTACGCAGTTATTTACACATCGTCTCTCCCATACAATGTGAGTTTGAGGAGAGAGATCCTGTTTTTGCCTTTCTTTCTTTGCCCAGCACTTAGTACAGTAGCTCTCACCTAGAAAGCCCTCAATAAATGTTGGCTAGCTGATTTACCAGTGAGATCTGAAATGCAGAGAATAACGCACCCGGGCCTGCTCTTGTGAGTGGGACCTACTCTGTCCCATCCAAAAGAAAATGGAGAGGAGGTTGAGGGTCTTCCCGGTCACTGCCCCTAATCGCCGAGTCTCAGGGGTACTTCCCCCAGCCACCAGTGACCTAAGGGAAGAGAAGCAAGGCACGCTGGGAAGGGGAGGGACAGCTTCCCATTGCTACCTGGCGGGGCTGCTGTGGCCGCCTGGGTTGGAGGTGAGGTATAAGGGTCCCAAGAAGCCCGGTGCACATCTCAGAAGGGCTGGAATGGGAGAGTGTTCACGGTTGAGGCTAGGTGGGGTTGGGTTAGCAATGTCCCCCATTGGCTCTCCACTGGCTTCTCATTCTCTGACTGGTTGGTCTTAGGTCAGATTAGGTCAGGCTGTGGTTCACACAATGCCTCCGCATTGGGGACCACTGAATTGGTGTGATTAATGGAAATGATGCAGAAGCATCGACATTAGTTCTCTCTCAGTTCTGTCATTCGGTCAGTCAGCCCATCTGTAAGTGGGGTCAGCATCCCAGCTCTTTACCTGGCTCTTGCAGATACTCTGAAGATAGGGAGAGAGCCTGCATCATTTGGAAGCAAAGATGTCTACATTCAAGGTCATGGTCGTGTGCTCTGTTGTCAGCTTTTATTGTTGAGTCACCTTGGCCGTGTCCCCCTCTCCGCGACCCCATGTGGGGCTTTCTTGGCAAAGACACTGGAGCGGATTGCTGTTTCCCTCTCCAGCTCATGTTACAGATGAGGAACTGAGGCAGATAGAGTGCAGTGACTCGCCCAGGCTCACACAGCTAGTAAGCGTCTGAGGGCACATTTGAACTCAAGTGCATCCTGACTGCAGGCCCTGCACTCTACCCACTGTGCCACCTCGCTGCCCCTCCGCTGTTAGAACTGGATGTCATTAAGGTCAGAGAAGCCTAGTGTCCATTAGGTTCCTTGCGTTCTCTCTTCATACCAATTACAGTGGATTCCACCAGTATTGTACAGAGACGTTAGAAACACCAACAGCTGGCGCCAGATCATTTACTGTTCCTGAAGGCAGGAAAGGAGCTCATTTCGTTGTAGTTGCGGTTGTCTTCAAATAGATCCATATGGGATTGCATCGGTCAGGCCCCTTCCTGGTAAATGACCTCTTTACCTGGCATGGGAAGAGAGAGGGATCATTTGGGGGAAAGCCGAGGTCATTACCACCCTTTGGCATTGGTGATCAAGCCAGTAGGTGTGTGTTAGGGCCTGCTACCATGTATTCTCTCTGAACCACTCGGCTTTTTATCCTGTTTAAGAGATTGACTCTGTAACTCATTCGAGGTTTATTCTGCGATAAAAAGTACTGTAGACTATTCAAAGGCTCTCTGCCCATGTGCATGCCACAGTCGGTGGGGGAAGGGGCAGGGTGTGAGCACTCTTTGTTTGTTTTTCCCCATGTGGATGACTAGGTTGATCTCATTGGAGAGGACCTCTGATATTCCAGGGCCTGATGAAAGCTGGATCAGAGTTCTGGGTAAAAAGAAGGGGAAGGGTAGGGGCTCTAGAGAAACGAGCACCATATTGCTCTTGCGTCTGGTGCAGGTGAAGAGAGGAGAGAGAGAGAGAGAGAGAGAGAGAGAGAGAGAGAGAGGGGCTGAGAGCCAGGCCTGAGCCATTGGAGTGTCCCATGGTTGAGGTCGGGACCGGCAGTAGTGGCTATGGCCAGGGGCAGAAATCCTTCCTTCTCCGTTCTATCACCACTAGTTCTGGCACAAGAGACCCTGTTCTCGGATGACCCTGGAGACGGTGAGAGACAGGAGCAGCCTGGAAGGGAGGCTTTCTTTAAGTTTGGATGGTAAAACGTTGTGGAAACACCTGTCTGTGGGTACTCAGGAGTCCTGGGTACCCACATCATTTGGAGGCGTCGCTGTTTGGTATCAGCTTTGCTTAATTCAGAGCTAAGCGGGCCTGTCCAGGGCCCAGGCGAGGGCCAAGCGTGGGGGTGCTAACCTGACGGCCCTCAGCGTATTTCTCCTTTCTTCCTCAGTGCGGAGATTACTCACTTACGGCCTCATGACCCAGGTCTTCCCCCCTTCATGACAATGAAGCTCTGAAGAAGCTTGAGAGCCTGTGGTACAATCGATTCAAGCTGAAGTATCAGCCTTTGGGTATGTGTGTCGTCCCTCCCGCAGAGACCTCTGGGTGGGCAGTGGTGTTTGTGGGGCAGGACGGGCACGTAGGTGGGGGAGGTGAGAGGTTACAGAGCAGGAAACAGCTGGGCCTCTTGGGTCCATGCTGCTACCCTCCTCTGGTCCCCTTGAGGGAGGGGTGGGCGATGAAGCAGAAGGGCCCCTGCCTTCCTGAATGTCGGGCGAGGGTGGCCACAGCAGGCACATGGGGGAGGACGGGGACGCTCCCCTCTCTGTCTGCCAAGGAGAGTAATATTGGGGTCGGATAGGACAGAGCGAAAAAGGCCAACAGGTGACCCGAGATAAATAAGGGCGTAGTAAGAGAACAAGCCCAGTGATACAAAGGAAGCATAGAGAGAAAGACACCGGCATCTGGGGGACCTGGGAAGAGCCTGCTTTAGGAAGTGGAGCTTGAACTGAGTCTTGAAAGAAGCTAGGGGTTGGAAGAGTGGGAGAACAGGCCAGGCATGGAGGTGGGAAATGGGGCCTCTTGTCTGAGAAACAGACCTTGGGCTGCAATGGCTCAGAGCTTATGTGCGGAAGGACACCGGAGAGAGTCTTTCTTTCTCCTCTGGGCCAGGGATTGTGATAAGATTTAAATGTCGAACTGAGGATTATATTTAATACTAGAGATGAGAAGAAGCCTTTGGCATTTATTGAGGAAGGGTTGGGGAGTGTGACCTGATCAGACCTGTACTTTAGGAAGTCACAGTTTGGCAGCTGTGTGGAGGATGGGTTGAATTTGGAAAACACTTGAAGGAAGGAGACCAGTTAGGACACTACTGAAATAGGCTAGATGAGAGGTGGTGAAGGCCTTCATTTTTGGTTGTTTTAAAAAGGTTTCTTTTTTTTTTTTTCAATCAGCAAAAAAAAAAAATCTGCCTTTTCTCTCATCTACCCCAGCCTCTTCTTCCTTCACAGATTGAGAAGGAAAGAAAAACAAAACCCCTAAATATGTATAGTTAAGCAAAACAAATTTTTGAATTGGCCATAGGCAAAAAAGGTCTCCTTTTGCATTCTGAGTTCCCCTCACGATCAGAAAATGGGTCTCATGTTTCCTCATCAGTCCTCTGGAATCCCTGTTGGTCATTCTGCTGATTGAGTCCCTAGGTCTTTCAAGGCTGTTTGCCTGTACATACCATGTTGCTGTCACCGAATAAATGGTTCTCCAGATTCTGTGTACTTCCCTTAGCATCCATTCATACAAATCTTCCCCGGTGTCTCTGAAGCCATCTTCTTCATCACTTCTTAGTGCACGTTTACTGCACACCATAAACCATCCCTTGGTCACCCATTCTCTGACTAATGGGCTTTCCCTTAGATTCCCTTAGAGTCTTTGCAACCTCAGAAAAGAGCTGTGCATATTTTACATATCCTTCGTTATAGTTTGTTTTGCTTAGGACTAAACCCTGCCTAATTTCCCCTTCTCCTTTCTTGCCTTTCCTTCCTGTTTCCCTGTTGAGTGAAATGTATTTCTGTAGCTAAATATTTCTGTAGCTAACTCTATGTGTTTTCTTCCTTCCTTCGACAAGTTCAAATGAGAATAAGGTTCAAGTTTCACCAGCTCCCCCTCATGCCTCCTTGTTTGCAATGATATTTACTTACATACCCTGATGACGGGAGATAATTTCCTCTAGCTTTCCTTTCCCTTTGTCTCTACCCTCCCCCTACCCAGTACATTTCTCATCCCTTCTCTTTCCATTCTTCTTTTATGATTAGCAAGATAGAGCAGAGCCACTCCCAGGCCTTACTTAATTAGAATCCAGCCCTCCATGACGCCTGATGATGACAGGGTTCAGAGCGGACGCATGCATCATCTCCCCCATGTTGATTGTTTACATTGCATCCTTTTTTAGCCCCTTATTATTGTTCATTCCTGTTTACCTTTTGATTTTTCTCTGTGCTCTTGTTTGAACGTTAAAGCTTCTCTGAAGCTCTGGTCTTTTAATCAGGAATGCCGGGAAGTCCTTTACGTCATTAAAAATCTATCTTTTCCTCTGTAGGCTTGTGCTGGGTAAGTTATTCTGGGCTGTAATTCTGTATCCTTTGCCTTCTGAAACATCGTATTCCAAGCTCTCTGCTCCTTTAGAGGGGTGGCTGCTACGCTGTGTGTGATTCTCACTGTGGCTCCCCAGTCCTTGCATATGTTTTTCTCTGGCTGCTTGCAAACGTTGTTCTTTGACATGGAAATTCTGGATTTTGGCTGCAGTGTTGCTGAGAGTTTTCACTTGGGAGTTTCTTTCAGGAGGTGATTGGTCGATTCTTTCCAGCTCCACGTTGCCTTCTGATTCAAAGAGCTCTAGCTAGTTTTCTTTTAAAATTTCTTGAAATATGTGTTTTCTAGCCTCTTTTTTTTGGTCGTGAAGTTCACACAGTCCAGTTATTCCTAAAATGATTCTCCTTAACCTGTTTGTGCTGTGAGATTCTTTAAGTTTTCTTCGAAGTCTTTGGACCTTGTTTTCATGTTTCTTGTGGCCTCCTGGCTTCTATTTGGGCCGTTCTGATTTTCAGGGAGTTTGTGGCTTGGGCAGGCGTTTTTGTGTTTAACTTCTTGTGCCATGCTACTAATCTGCTTTCCGTGTCTGTCTTCCGTAGCTCTCATTGCTTTTCCATTTTTTCCTCTAGCACTTTCATTTTATGCATAGACACACTTGTAAATTCTCTTTAAAACTCTTGCTTCATCTCCTCTAGGAATTCCAGTCAGCTTTGCCCCAAAGATGTTTTCCTTTGAGGCTTTGCTTGTAGGCGTCTTGGAGTCACTCTCTTCTCTTGGGTCTGTGCCTCGGCCATCCCTGTGGCCGTAATAGATTTTTATTGGGGGGTTTGTTTCTCCTATTTTCCGATTTCAGACTTGATGGCAGGGCCAGGCTCTGGGTACCTCTGGAGGGAAGCTCTGGGCTGGCCTCGCTGCTGCTTTCTTGAGCTCCCAGAGACAGCTCAGGCTGGGGACCTGCAAGCTTTCTTATTCCCAGAGGGCCAAGTCTGATTGCTGCCCATCACCACCCCCCAATCTGAGCTCCTCAAGCTCCTGAAGCTTAGGTTGGGGTCTGATCAATAGCTGCTGGATTCAGCCACCAGCAGCCAGCTGGAAGTCTCTGTCGGCTCAGGACAGCAGAATTGGAGGCCCGTGGTGGGGTCCCTGCCCCGGTTATTCCCTGCAGACTGAGCTAGAGGCTACGACTGAGACTCCTCTTGCCTCTGGGGTCTGAGTCACTCAGCTGCTGCTGCCTTCTGGACTTCAGTCTTGCCCAAGGCCTTGATGGCTCCTTAGCCCAGAGCACCTCCCTTAGACACGGCCTTGTCTGGGTCAGCTCTGCCCTGAATGTGTGATCCAGAACTATGTGGTGGATGACAAAACTGCCAGGTAGCCCATGTTCCCACACCATGCAGGAGGTCAGAGGGTACCAGTGTGGGTTTGGGACAAGTCTTGCTGGTGGGCGCAGCCTCTCCCTTGGGCAGGAGTGCTTCGTGCACAGCACAGTGCTGGCCAGATCCCATCCCCGGCATCTGTGGCCCTTTCTCTCTGTCTCTCTGTACCAAGTTGGCTGGGAAAGTGGCTCACTCACTTTTTTCTTGCATTTCCTGTCAGGATTCAGTCTAGCAAGTTGTCTCTGTCTTTCTGGAGCAGTTCAGGATGCGAGGGGAGGGAGGCTGTGTGGCTGTGGTTGTACTGCTTCCTGGTACTCTGACATCTTGGTGCTGCTTTCATTTCTAGTATCAGTTCTGGAGTTTCTTTGAGTAAATGTGTGAGACTTCAAGCAGATATATTCGTACCACATCTTGTTCAGTGTACCTCATCCCTGGCCAGAGCCTCTCTTTTCTGTAATTTAAGCCATGTCCAGAAATGTCAGTGTCCTCCTCAGACCCCAGCCTCGTAACTCCCTTCCTGGACCTACCTTTTCTCTCTGAAGTCCTCACCTTCAAGCAGGAGCAGGGATCCCAGCACCAGCTATGTCCCTAGAGGCCTCACTTTCTTGCCTGAGAAGAAGCTTTGCCGGGCTCTCTGCATCCCTTCTAATAGCATCCCTTGTGCTCCGTGAGTCACCAGGCGTGAGCAGGAGGCCGCCATCTTACTAGTCACGGCCCAACACGTGCTCCGGACGGCCAGCAGATCCCCTTGTGCTAATAGTAGGTGATCAGCAAAGGGCTGCTTGGGAGTCACTGACCATGCTTACTCAGCTCTTCTTTTTCTGGCCCTTCCTGGGTGACCTCTTAGTGGACAGCCACTGCCCCGCTCCATGGAGCCAAGAAGGACTTGCTTTCTGACTTCCCCCTCCCCCAGCCTTGCAACCTGGCCCAGGCAGCCATGTGTTCATTGCCTTGATAGACAGCAACAGAAGCAAACACAAAGAGAGAAATGTGATCTAAATAAGCCTTCTGTATTAGATGACGTTAATGAAGGTTATCCTTTAATTATTGCGTCAAAATCTGGGAAATGGCAATTATGATATAGGCTAGAATGCATTCTGTCAAGGCCTAAATCAAGACATGCGTCCTCAGTGCTCTGGGCCACCGGTGAAAACTGTGGGAAAAGCTGTGGTGAGGCTTTTATAATGGCAGGCCTTGGGGATTGGGGAAAAATGAAAACCCACATTCCTCCCTGCAGTGATAAAGGGGGAGAGATGTCAAAGTGGAAACACAGCCAGCACACAGCTAGCTCGGTAGAGGCTCACCTGGCAGATCGCAGGCTGTGTGTACCCAGTGGGACCCTCAAGTCAACCCAGGCCCAAAAATTGAATGGGACTTCAGCATTAGGTGGTATCCTGCCCTCCTTTTACAGGCAGGGAGTCTTAAATGGTTCCCCCTTCCCACGGCCAGTGAGCCAAGGAGCTCTCTGTGCTCCCAACCCTTTCTCTTTCCTCCTCGGTCAGCCCCCACCTGAGTTACAAACAGTGCCTGGCTGCGTGTGGGTGGGCTTTCCGTACAGTAAATGTTTGTTCGCTGACTCCAAAGAGTGGAGGGTGACCACGGGGGCGCTGGCCCAGATGGTGCCAGAGGTCTCTTCCTGATCACTGTGTGACGCTTTCGGGGACAGTGGCTGAGGACAGTTCACATGAGGGAGAGTTGGGCCTCTCTGCTCACAGTGTCAGTGCTGTGCTTCCTTTTGTTAGCCTGGACTTGAGATTTCCTGGGTGGGAAAGTCCCTCCACTGGTGAAGCTCAGCCGGCAGCCTTCCTCCTGGCTTCTCTGAGAAGTGCCCAGGAGGCAGAGAGGGCATGTGATGCCAGGGCATCTCCAAGGGGCAATTCGAATCCTGCTCCCTCCTCCCGCCAACATGCTTGTTAGCAGAGATGCCCCAAGTGGATTAGAAGATCTCCTCATGCCCTCGAGGCATGAATCAGCGCGCCCAGAGTCAGTCCTGTGAAATGTGTGTGTTTTCGCCCCCTGCCTCAGAGCCCTGGGCTCAGAACCCGCTCTTTTCTTCTTCCTCCTCCCATCCCTGCAGATGGCATCCGCACGTACTTTGGAGAGACCATCGCCCTCTACTTTGGTTTCTTGGAGTACTTCACTTTTGCCTTGATCCCAATGGCGCTCATCGGGCTGCCCTACTATGTGTTTGACTGGGAGGACTATGACAAGTATGTGATCTTCGCCTCTTTCAACCTGATCTGGTCAACCGTGATCTTGGAAGTGTGGAAGCGCGGCTGTGCCCTGATGACCTACCGGTGGGGGACGCTGCTCATGAAGAGGCAGTTTGAAGAGCCGCGGCCAGGCTTCCACGGTGCTCTGGGCATCAACCCCGTCACCGGCCGAGAAGAGCCACTCTATTCCAGCTTCAGGAGGCAGCTGCGCATCTACCTGGTCTCCCTGCCCTTCGTGTGCCTCTGCCTCTATTTCTCCCTTTACGTTATGATGATTTACTTTGACTTGGAGACGTGGGCTCAGGACGTGCACCGGGAGAGTACCTTTCCTGAACTGACCAACATCCTGCTCTTCGTGCCCAGTATCATCTATGCCATCGTGATTGAGATCATGAACCGCCTCTATCGATTCGCTGCAGAATTTTTAACCTCGTGGGGTAAGCTGCTCTTTCTAACTGCTCTCTTTAACTGTGCTGGTGTTCCTCAGTGGAATGCAGCCTCTGGGAGGGCCAGGTCTGTTTTGTTTTTGCATGCCTGGTACGTGCAGTACGTGCTTAATAAAGGCTTGTTGGGTCTGTCGAGCAGGGCTGCATTTTAGAGGCCGGCCAGGCATTCTACGTCCGTTGTAAAGAAAACCTCCACCAAGGCCCGTGGACTTGGGAAGCTCTGGACACCCTTCTGGTTATGCCGGGTTAAACTGGTGTGGTGTCATATGGCCAGGACCTGTCCTGGGGATTCTTTGGTTATCCTAAAGGAGTCCCAAGTCTGAGGAGCAGAGACTCCATTGCCCTGATACTGAGAAGTAGGTGCCCTTGCGAGAGAGGAACCGTGCATCGGGCCAAAAACCATCTGGGAGTTGGAGCTTTGGTGGCAGGAAACCTCGTGAGGGTGTTTTTGACTAGAGTGTGTGATCTAGGACAGTGTCCCTTCACTGCCTTCCTTTGCATCCTCTGGTTTCAGCCACATAGCTTAGAAGCGTCTTGAGCTCTGTTGCGTGCTGCCCACTTTTCCCAGTGAGGACAAGAAGTTTCATACGTGGGGGCCTTAGCCCTTTGAGCCCTGTGGTTCAGGGTACTTGGTGCCAGCTCATTGCAGGGGCTTTGGCAGGAGTGCTCTGGGTATGCCTGGGCGAACCATGTTAATGCCAGCTGCTTTTTGCCCTAGTTTGCTCAGATTGCTTTTGGAGCAGGGTATTTCATACCTGTGGTCACCCTAGTGTGTGAATACAGAATGGTCTTAAAATGTCCATTTCTTCCCTCACCATCCAAGCTAAATTTCCTTTCCATTCCCCTCCTTTATCCAGCTGTTTCCTTTTTACAGTTTTTTTTTGGGGGGGATAGGGGGGCAGTGGGAGCTGTTTATCTTAGTGGTAAGGGAAGGAAGGTCACAATTAGGCAACAAATAACTCTTTAAAATGACTGCTGAAGGGCCCTGGTATCTGACCCCAATGCTGTCAGCACTGTAGTGACATCTGCCCCATATTATTACCTGAGCATTGCCTTCTGTCTGAGGGAGAAACGTGACTGTTTTTGATTGCTAATTTCAGAGAATCACAGGTTGGAGTCTGCCTATCAAAATCATCTGGTTCTCAAGGTGTTGGTGGTGAGTATGGTGTTTTCTGTGTAAATATGGTTTTCTTTATGACAAAAATTCGTAACTTTTAGAAATGAATCATAAAGACTTGTTTCCAGTGTAGTATACTGGTGCTGTGTTCTTAATTAGGGAAATAAAATAATATAAGAAAATTCAGATAATAGGAATAAGTTTTGCTGCTAATTTCCAATTATCCAGAAACAACTTATCGCATTTATGGCTTGTCCAGAGTCTTAGTTTTCTCACTAGTGACCGCAGAGCCATCAGCTCTTTACTAGAGGCTTTTCTAAATAATTCGATAAGGGAAGAGTTTTGCTGTTTTTGTTTTTTTTAATCAGTTTACACATAAAAGTTTTAGATCCTTAGCTTCTGAATGGGTTTTGTTATAAAAATGAGTAAATCTGCTTTCTGAAATTGGGAGCATATTTTCCCCATAGAAACAACACGTTATAAAAGATTAGTTCCCAGGATAGTCCACAATTTAACCCATCACACAGTTACATTTTATGTATTTGCAGTGAAGGTGTTGTCACAGTTGTTACACGAGACAGTGTTGTTACAGTACTTACTAGCAATTTAACTAAACAGAAAAACAACAGAATTAAATAAAAACCCTTTCAATTTATCTGGAATGTTAATACTTAAGGAAAGTCTGGTTTAGAAAGATGAGGAAGTAGACAGAGGTTTTCATAGCATTTGTTAACGGGACTTCTCAACTCTTGTTAAGGGGACTTCTCGACTCTTCTCGGGGCTTTCCAATTGTTTCTTTTTCCGTAGTGTAACTGATTTCACTGAAGAATTTGGGGTTTTAATGCTTGATTCAGATGTATTAATGTTGCTACTCTTTCACTTATAAGTCATGATTAAGAGTACTTTAAAAAATGTTTTGGCTGACAAAGGGAAGGTGGGAAAGAAAAACCAGGAAAAAGAGGGAGAGAGATGCTTCCCGAAGGTAACCGAGTTAGCAAAAAAAAGAGGGTATGGAAGAAGGAGGTGAAAGAAAGAGGAGGTATCTGTTTGTGTGAGGAAGAGAGAGCTTTAAGTGGAGTGAACTAAGCCATATTTAGTGAAAGACATGGTGTGCAGCGCCCAGTTCTTCTAAAGGAGAACTGAGGAAGTCATAGGGAAGATTTCTCCCAGCAGCCACCATGTAATGCCCTCAGCTCAGCACACACAGGGCCGGGCACAGAGTAGGTGCTTAATAATGCTGGTGGACTTGCTGCTTTGGTGGACGTCCACAGCTGGGCCTGTGGAGGGGAGGGCTTGTCACTTGTGTTGGTGTGTGTAAGGTCTTCGTAAATCAGGGAGTACCTGTCTGTGTGGGTGAGCTTCAGTGACCTGTCCTTTTCCTGTCCTTCATTCACCTAGATAATAAAGAATTATCAGCACAGTTATACTTCATTTGTTTGGAACTCACTCATGATGGCAGCCTCAGTTGTCCAGAAAACCATTAAAGAAAGCAAAAAGCAGTAACACACCAGTAAAAACAGGCTACACAAAGTCCGTGCATGTTCATTTTGCTGGTAGGAGAAGCCAAGTCTTCCTTCACACTGCATTTACTCTTAGTCTTTACGTGGTTCTGACAAACTAGTGGGTGTGGCATTGGGCTGCAGAAAGGATGGGGGAGATGCTGAAAGCGGGCCACTGAGCAGGGCAAAGAATGAGAGCCGGCCGTCTGACCGTTAGGGAGGAGACGGAAAACTAATGAAAACTGGCGGAGTCAAGGAAACAAGGCCGTCTAGGGCCAGGCAGTGAAGGGGAGAGTCTTCCCTCTCCAAATAGGCACTGGGGCTCCCTCTTCTGTAGCCCAGAGCAGTTCCCTGAGTCACCCAGAGAAGGTGGAATTGTGGTTAGTGTTCTCTGCCTGAGAAAACAAGGGAGCGGGTGTCCCTCTGGAAAAGGCCTCCACCCCCAGCTGGCAGAGAAAGAGATGCTCCTGTGCTTGAGGGACATGTATCAAGAGCCACTTTTCTCTAGACTTCTTGCCCTTGCCTGGCCTGGTTGCCCGCATGGCCAGAGCTCCAGGCCCTGTGAGGCCCTGCCTCCAGCTGGGCTGGACTGCACTCCTCACAACTTCCTCCCTCGAGCTCTTCTGGCCCTCCCACGTTGCCCCCTGCCCCTCGGTTCCCTTCTGTTGTTTCCCTCTCCTTGGCTTGGTTGGGGAGCAGTGGGGGCTCTTCAGGAAGCAGCCCCAGGCCTCCCCCAGGTCCCTGACCAGGTGGCTCAGACGTCCGTTAAGTCACTGACATCTCCTTCAGTGAGAGAAGAGTGAAGAAGGCAGAGAGATGGGTCAGAGGGGACAAAAGTAAGGAGAGGCAGGAAAAGGGGAAAGGTAAAAAAGGAGGTGAAAGTTCAGATTGTTTTTTAAAACTCCTTTTTTAAAAAAAGTGCTTTGTATTCTGAAGATGTAACTGAATTTGTCCTTGATTTTTAGAGCTTTTTAAACATCTCACTCCTGTAGTCACTTTTAATTTTTATTTTTTTGGCAGTTCAACTTTCTCAATTGTTTCGCCTCACTCTTCTACATTGCCTTTGTGATGAGAGATATGAAACTTTTGCGACAGGTGAGTGTGGAGAACATTAGAATTTTTTTAAAACTTAGGTTTTATGGCCAAATGGTGTTTATAGAGAGCCAGCCTTGCGTCAGCGTGACCTAGGTTCAAATTCCACCTCAGACACATAGTAGCCTTGTGAACACGGGTGAGTCTCTCATTTCCTGGTGCTCCTTGTAATCCTCTGTGACCTTATGATGGTGTCACTCTGTTACTGTGCAGTGATGGAGAGAGCGTTCACACCAAGAGTTTCCCAGACCTTTGAAAACAGAGGTCTAGGTATTAAGTCACCTCTGGTAATAGCCTTCTTGAAACCAAGAAAGAGGAGGAAGGGGAAGAAGGCATTTTTGTCAGAGGGCAGTGGTTCTCATTGTCTGTTGAAACTTAAATCAGAGTCAATGGAAGGATCTAGAAGAATTCTCTACAAAGATCCACAGAAGGAGTCGAGCACATCCGGCCGGGACACTGCCTGGGCCACAACCTGGAAGGTGGACGTCCTGGTTGGCAGCCTCTCTCTGTGCCTTCTGTCCTTCTTCCTGTTCCTCACAATCAGGCTTCAGGCTAATGCTGAAACGGGGGCCACCATGATGAAAGGACCTGGGAAGCCCCAGGTGCCCACGTGAGGTGCCCTCGTCCAGGGCTCTAGACGTCATCTTTGTCCAGAAAATTTTGACAGTAAAAACATGAGCACCTTTGAGTGAGTAGCAGGAAGTACACTTCTATGTCCCCCAAATGCTGGGTGCCATGGCAGCCTGGTGCTCAGGACTTCTCAAGTCCCGTTTTCAGCTACTCCATTACTGAGCTCTTGAGGCTTCTGCCTCACATTCCATAATTATAAACACGCCATTGTCTCACGTGTTGTTGCATCCTTTCAGCTTTTGTTGTCTGTTTTTCTTTAGAGTTTGGCTACTCTGCTGATTACTTCCCAGATTTTGAACCAAATTGTAGAAACCCTTCTTCCATATTGGCTCCAAAGGAAGTATGGCTTACGGGTGAAGAAGAAGGTGCAGGCTTTAAAGGCAGATGTGGATGTTACTCTGTATGAACAAATCGTCCTGGAAAAAGAAAAGGCAACTTACCTGGTAAGTCTGAATGTGTGTTATGGATTGGCAGGGCTGAGCTTCCCCTCAGCTGAAACATGGTGATTAAGTGCCTTTAACCAATACGTCGTCATAGGCAATAGCACTGAAATGACCACTTACTAGGGGTCCCCAGCTTGTCCCTTTCCCCCTGAAAGGAACCACTTTAAAGCTAAAAGCTGGGTGACACAGTGGTTAGAGCACCAGGCCTGGAGTCAGGAAGACGCGTCTTCCTGAGTTCAAATGTAGTCTCAGACACTTACTAGCGGGGTGACCCTGGGCAAGTCACTTCACTCTGTTTGCCTCAGTTTCCTCATCTGTAAAATAAGCTGGAGAGGGAAATGGAAAACCGCTCCTGTATCTTTGCCAAGAAAACCCCAAATGGGGTCACAGTGAGTCAGACACGACTGAAAACAACTGAATAATTGTAGAGGGCCAGCTCTGAAGAGCCATGCCAGGTTTTACCTGTAGCCTGTCCTATATTAGCTAGTTATATTTTTCTATACACTTACTCAGTCGTGTAATTTCACCTTCACTGTGAACCGAATATAGCAAGGCACGTCGATTCAAAGTGAAAGTAAAACACACACACCAATCCATGTCTCTGATCCCTGCTAAACCTGGTGAAAATGAAAAGCTGTATGGGAAAATTATTGCCCTACCTTGTTAGTCGTCGTCTTCTGTGCAACGACCGGAACTCCTTTTTCAGGGCTGTTGGCCAAACGGCCCACCTCGTCCAGGGCCACTCTGCTGGGGAAAGCTATTCTTTCAAGTCCCTGTTTGGGCTCCACTGTGCCGCGAGTACCTGCGTCCGCGGCTGTGGTCTAATGCCGGCTGAGTGTGCAGAGAGAAAGAAATATGTGGGTCAGGCAAGAGATGCACAGAGCAAGCTCCGTTTATTGATGCAAGGGTTAGGGGTTTTGTGTCTTTGACTCATTAGAATATCACCCAAAGTAACAGTAAGTAAAGCCACAGAGCTTACATGTCTTTAATAACAAGTAGCATGAAGAATTTTTCTCATGAGAATACTGGCCCACAAAACAACAAGCACATTTCTCATGGCTGCTTCCTTGTTCATGGGGACACGAACCAGGGAGTCATCTTGTCCGTTTTCTCACTTCCTTGCAATCTCCAAGGGCATCCTGTTCTCAAGAGACAGAACAGGAGGGTGGGGAGCCAACATGCCTGAATTATGTAGCCATGGGAAATAGGACAGGCTACAGGTAAAACCTGGCCTGGCCTGAATCCTCTGACTCTTCAGAGCTGGCCCTCTACAAACAATAATGAAAACATATACCAGAATTCTGAAAACTTTGCAGATCTTGATGAAATTATGGCTGTCACCCCTGAAAGGAGGTAGAACAGAGGATGACAGTTGGAGGGAAAAAAAATCAGCAAGTGAGAGAAGGCTTTGATGGACAAACAGGGAGGGGGGATCTGGGCGCTTTCTCGACAACTCATGTGCAACTCCCATAAAGCAGCCTTCCAAGTAATGGATTAAGAAATATTACATTAGAATGGGGATTTATCTGAAAAGCTTACTTCTTAGTTTAGAGACCTTAGCACTAATGCAACTATAAAACACCTCCTGTCTTCTAGGCTGACTTGGAGGTCAGATATTGTCCTTTCATTTTTTCTTCATTTCAGTACTGTAATGAGATAATTAACTACAAAATTATCAGTCCATATTATTGAATTTACTTGTGATAAGAGTGACTTTATGGTTAACATAACTTTCAGCCATTCAGTAAACATTTATTAAGCACCTTCTGTGTGCCAAGAATACAAATATTGTTATGGGCAAAATATCTCTTCTTTGAGTTCATGTAGTGGGTTACTTCTGCAAAATAAATCTACCACAACGTAGAAGTTATAGAGATAAAAACTTAGGTTTTATTATGCTTTATTATTTATTAGGCTCAGAAGGTGAAAAATAACCCTCAACCTGGATTGGAGTTTCTGACAAGCTTTTATAGAGAAAATTACATTAGAGAAATAAATGCTTTTACATATTACAATCTCATACACTCTTTTAGTCTGTAAAAGTTTAAAAAGACAGTTCATCCCATGCTTCCTTCAGTGCCATAAGAGCTGAACAGACTGAGTTAAACAGAATCATGATTCTTAAAGGAAACAAACCTAGTAGAACAGAATCTCTGGATAAACTAAGTAAGGTTACGGATTAAATAACCCTGGTTAGAGGGTTCGCAGGGTGCTGATTGAGGGGCTAGGGGTGTGTGTGCCACCAACAGAACCAAGATATCGGGGACAGTTGGGATCATTTCTCAAGTAAAGCAAGCCAGATTACTTTGTGCGGCCTAGATGCTCTTTTTGGCTTCTTATCTGAGGAATGTTTGAAGCCTGACATAAATTTTCACATCCCGTGGTATGGGTTTCAGCCAGCTCAGTAACCTTCTAACTAGGGGAAAAGGCCCTCACTCCCCTCCCCCTAAGTAATAATAAAAATTAATAAAAGGGAATCAGAAATAAAAAATTCTCATGATATTAAAAAAAGCTATCCCTGGCCTGGGGGAAGACAGTGTCAGGAGGGTCGGGGGCGGGGGCTAAGGAGACCCACTTTCCAGAGCATGATGAACAAGTCCAAAGGAGGGCAGTCTATGTGGGAACTACAAAGTGGAGTGCCCTGGGCACCTTCCTTAAATGGAAGCTCTGGAAGGAGCTCTTCACCCCCCTCCACCCCCCAGTCAGGGCAGAGGGTACTGAGTAGCCACGAGCCCCCTTCCAGGAGGAAGGTGTTCTTGGGACGGGGATGGGGAAGTACAGGGGAGGGCAGCTGGGTAGGAAATGAAGCCACGTTGAGGGGAAAAGCTGTCCAATGAAAGTATAATGAGCTTCTCCCATACAGAGGACTTACTTACTCCCTTGAAAGGTCATCAGCAGCCTCCTGGTGACATCTAATGACCTTTTCTCAGTGTTTGGTTTTCTTTGTTGTGTTCTTTTGTTTTGTTTTTGCATGTGACCCTTACGTTGGCAGTTTCTTACCATTCCCCTAAAAATAATTTCCCAAGGCTGACTTTACTGTGCATGCTAAGATCTTACATGGGCCACCGTGATTTCTAGTGATGTACGTTCTGCTTAAATTAAAAAATGAGTCTAAGTCTGTCTGTCTGTATGTATAATAAAGAGTGGCCTAAAAGCTTAATAGCATTATAGGGCTTTTGAGCCACCTTGTGTAGACTGGAGAGAGAGAGAAAGAGTGTGTGTGTGTGTGTGTGTGTGTGTATGTGTGTGTATACGCTGGCCACCTCTGTTCACATATACATAGACTCTGTACAGGCAGAGATGTGTATATATGCTCATATATGTATAAAGATCTTTTGTAGTCTGCGCTTTAGTGAAGGCTAGCTGTTGTCCATTCACTTGGGTTAAGTAGCACTGCCTCACGGTCTCTTGGGAGTCAGCGAGTCCCCTCGCTCTCCTGAGGGGAATGAGTCTGTAGGATAAGAGGCTGTGCTGGGCCCCTTCTCGGCTTGCTGTGGATGCTTCTGCTATTGGGCTTCTTTGATCTCCTGGTGAGTGGAGGCCCAGGGCCTCCTGGGAGCAAGGCTGAGGCTGAGCTCCTAGGGTGTAAAGAAACTGCATTAAAAGCAGTAACCATCCCCAGGGAGCTGACAGGTTCTGTCCTTTCTTTTGACTCCTTGTTCAGAAGGATACTGAAGAAAATATGGTGGCCTCTACAGAGCTTCTCTTAGGTCTCCTTGGCAGTCAGTCACTCAAGGGGTGCCTGCCCTCTCCTGCCTGGAGGCTGTCCAGAGTGGACAGTATGCCATCTAGTTATCCTTCTCTGAGGCTCATTGTGTGGAGCTCCTTTATTAGAAGGCTAAAGGTTAATTATTAACTGAATTTTAGAAAGACTTCTTTTGTTTTTACCTTTTCATCATTTTCCACCCTACACACACACACACACATACACACACACACACACACACACACACACAGAGAAAACCTTCCTAATTAGCCTAGCTTTGTAGTTTCCAGTGATTCTTGTCTTCTCAAACCTTCCTTCTTAAGGGGGAGATCGTGTGTTTCTTCCCCATCTGAACCATTTTAAATAGTTTTGAATGGCACCTAGCGCTGTGCCTTGCACATAAATGAGATGGAATGTGCCAAGCCAAAGATGTTAAGCCCAGTTACAGATTTCCTTCTCTCTTCTTCTCTTTCCCCAGCAGCACCCCACCCCTGGCTTTCCTCTTTTTCTGTCTTTTCCCTTCTTTTGTTTTCTGGCTTCCTGATCTCACAGAAAGGATGTGATTGGGGGGGTGGGGTGAGGCACATGAGGCCGGAGATTTTTGTGAATGAGTTAATAAAATTGTGGGTGTATCACAGAAGACTGTTACTTTTTAGCACTAATTCTGGGTCATTTACTTTCTCTTTGAAATGAATGTCTTAAAAAAAAACTTAAAAAAGAGAACCTTTTCATTTTTGTTCTGGCGGTGACAGTGTTTTGAGGCCTAAATTTGCATTTGTTTCTCAATTCACACAAATTGTTGAAGGTGGAAGAACTGGGAGATGCTCCCATAGATTGTCAGTAGAGACTCACACCCTGAATATTATTAATGTTTCTATTTTTCTTGAGTTGTCCATGACAGCATAACGTACTGTTTTCTTTATGGTGCCTTTCTTTTTCAGGGCACCTTTGATGATTACTTGGAGCTCTTCTTACAGTTTGGATATGTGAGCCTTTTCTCGTGCGTCTATCCATTAGCAGCTGCCTTTGCCGTTCTAAACAACTTGTTGGAAATTAATTCAGATGCCTTAAAAATGTGCAAGGTCTTCAAACGTCCGTTTGCAGAGCCTTCAGCAAGTATTGGTGTTTGGCAGGTAATCTGGTTTTTTCTTTCAAATTTTATGGTTTTTTTGTTTTGTTTTGTTTTGTTTTTTTAAAGAGCAAAGATATAGGGGATCTGGGTTCTAGTCCTGGCTTTACTCTCAGCTTGTTGCGTGGCCTTCATTAAATTACTTCACTTGTCTGGGCCTCAGTTTTCCCATCTGTCAAATGAAGGTATTGAAATAATTGACTTCTTAGGGCCCTCCAAGGTCTACAGTTCTGAGTCCCGTGATCACACTTAGTATATATTCAGTGTATTTATAATTCTGTCCAAGGCTTCTTCTTGGACTTTAATGATCAGAATACTGTCTCCTAGGCCTGGGCGATGGAGGTAAGGCAGTATTTCGCTGACAACAACAGCAGCGTGTGTCCGAGTAGCCCTTTTCCCACAATACCCTCCCAGCTACTGTGAATGGTGTCATCCCCATTTTCAAGATGAAGAATTGGAAGCAAGTGGAGGTTAGGAGATGAGCCCAGGGCCACTGAGTTAAGAAATAGATGCAATTATACGGATGTCCTGGAAGCACTAGTGCTGGACCCAAGAAGGGATGTTTTTAGAACCTTGCCTGCTATGAACCCAGATCTTTAGACTCCAAGTCCAAAGCACACATTACTCGGGAATGCAGAAGGAAGATCCCTACACTGTGCTGTTTCAGAGAATGCCCATCCCTCTCTTTCTGTTTCTCTTTCTCTCCCTCTTTTCTTTCCTTGGTCTCTCCCTCCCTCCAATGCAGGGGCATTGTCTGTAACTGCTGTTTTCTGCTCTGCTTTGCAGCTTGGCTGCCCTGGTCTTTCTCAATATGGCAGAAGCTGAGGCTTCCAACTTAAAGGGATTCCATAAAAGAGTCAGATTTCGTAAAGTGTTGATGAAGTGTAGAAAATGTTCAAAGCTGGGAGAAGACCTTGAGTAATTGTTGAATTCACTCATCCATCGTCGGCCTTCTTTTAAAGGTTATAGTTGATGCTAGCGAGGATAGTGTTCCTGGGTACTTTGCAGTGCTCTCCAGGGAGCACCTACAGAGTGCTTGGAGGCCTTAGAATGTGATTGGTGCTCACAGCATCATTGTCCTTAGGTCTGACTACCCTTTTATATGGAGAAGGAACTAAGCCAGATGCAATAAGTGACCTGTGAAAGAGCTCATGATACATCAGTGGTGGAGGGGAGGAGAGAAGACAGGTGGGCAAGCTTCTGTTCTCAGGCCATCCTGCCCTCCTCTTATGCCCACCCAGAATCTACAGACTTTTGTACTGTTAGGGACAAAGCCACCTTTTATCATGAGAAGATCCGTCCCAATGAGTCTGATACCGCTGTGAAGCGGTGATGGCGGGGACGTTTATGGGCACACAGCATTTTAGCAGCGTGCTCATCTGCCCTCTTCAGTACTGTCTCCCATCATTCTGACCCACAAGACCCCAGACCTGGAGCCCTGTTCCCTCGTGCCTTCTCCACCCCTCCCACAATGCCAAGTGCTCTTGGGGGAGGCTACAAAACTTCGTGTTTCATCCTTACTGAGAAGGTAGAAGCTATGGGAAGTGACCTCTCTCACTTTCATCCCTCTACACCTCAGGATCTCTCCTTCACCCATTTTGCATTTTTCCTCTTCTATCTCAGAGGAAAAGGTGGCTCTCCTCCTTACCAACACTAACTCCTTCACTGGGGACTGCTTGTGAAAAATAAAACTGTGTTTGAAATCTCATCTGTCTCCAGCTGAATGAAAAGCCTGCTATGTCATATCAAGTGAGAGAGCATGTAAAATGGCTTTATAAACCTTAAGTAGCTGTACACATGCTAGCTCTCTCTGATGGTGCGTTGGCCTTTGAGGTGTATATGGATTAATTTTTCAGTAACAACACATTATGCTAAGACGAGGTTTCCTGTTCTGATCCTTACCTGTCTGGGCTGCCATAGGCCTGTGTTCTAGACTCAGCTTTTCCCACCTACTTACTGTGTGACCTTGGACAAAGTCACTCAGCCTTCTCCTTTTCTAGTTCTCTATCTGTGTGAGGCCAGATCTTCTTCATATATCTCAACAGAAGAACACATCCCAGTAGACCGACTACAGAAGCAATGGGAGGATCCAGGTGTCTTTGAGTAATCTGGACCCTAAAGAGATTTGCAAAATTGTGTAAAACACCACTCTACTCACTGTGTTTTTGGTTTCAGAAAATATAGTTATTTTTTGTAAAATATGTCCTGCATATTAACATGTGATGAGTTTATTATTGTTATTTTAAAATAAATATTTAAATATTTAAAATATTTAAAAATTTCTCAGGTTTTGTTTCTAATATAGTAAATATCAGTAGATATAGCTCATATAAGCAATATGGAGTCCTCAACAATTTTTAAAAATGTAAGGGGTCCTGAGTCTGGAAAGTTTGAGAGCCACTGATATAGGAAAAAGCATTTTTAAGAAATTTAGTCTTTAGAATAAGGAAGACTTTTGCTGTGGCTCCTCTGTGTACCCTTCTGTCCCCATGTTGTAGCAAGAAGTAAGAGGGCCAGAGCAAACTGAGACATTTGTCACCCACATGGCCTTTTTTTTTTTCTTTTCAGTTGGCTTTTGAGACCATGAGTGTTATATCAGTGGTTACCAACTGTGCACTGATTGGAATGTCTCCACAATTAAATGCAGTTTTCCCAGATTCAAAAACAGACCTTATTTTGATTGTGGTAGCCGTGGAGGTAAGTGAAAATTCTAGCTGTGTTTGTGATATTGGTCATTTAAAACAGTGGTGGTGATGGTGATGCTGCTGCTGCTGCTGCTGATGATGACAATGATGGAATCTGCCTGCCTGTCACTGGTTGCCTGGATTCACTTTCTTGAGTTTACATGTAAGAAAGCACAGGGACACAGTTACAGAACTAAGGAAAGTAGGCCTCAGGCTCTTTCCCAGTAACTTAAAAAATACTCACCAAGTCACAGAGAGAAGCAGAGATGGGCCTCATTACCAAAGCTGAAGGATGGGTGGGTGTGAAAATGTGTGTATTTGTGAGTCTCTGTGTATATGGATATATGTTTAGGTGAATGTGTGAGTCTGTGCTAAGGGAAAGTCATTTCTAATTTCAGAATAAAACATACCTAATGATCTGATTTGATAATTTTGTTTTCTCTTCTGCAAACAGGTATTGAATAAATACTTTTTGATAATTTATTTTTGAGTTTTTTTTTTATTTAGGCAACTGGGGTTAAGTGACTTGTCCAGGGTCACACAGCTAGTAAGTGTCAAGTGTTTGGTCTGAGGCCAGATTTGAACTCAGGTCCTCCTGACTTCAGGGCCGATGCTCTATCCACTGCGCCACCTAGCTGTACCTATTTTTGAGTTCTTAGATTACAAGTAGGAACTTTTTTTATTTCTGTGCTTTATGACTGTGTAAATAATCATGGGTACAAAATGAAAGCAGTGTTATAATTTAATGCGAATAGTATATTTAAACATTTATTTTTCCTTTGGGTCATAATCCTCTGAGCTGGGAGTCCTGAGCCTTGGTGACTTTTTTCACCTCGTGTTAATATTCTAGCTTCATTTTGAAAAGGGTTATCTCATCAGATTTGACTTTTTCCCTTCCATGCTTCCAGCTTTAAATGTTGCCATCTATATTACTGCACAGATCCCAGCATTCACTTTGTCTGCTTTTTCGTGCCTGATCAGCACTAGGGCTTCCCCACATGTACATGTCTCCCTCCTGATTTTGGCCCTGTCATTAAGGAGGTGTATATTAAAGTGCCCATTCAGTTCAAGCAGGGCTTAGCTTGACCGGGCCCATGAGGCCCCATGTGCACACCTGAGGCTTCAAAGCAAAGCCAGCTGATGGGATGGAAGAGTAGAGAAATGAACTTAACAGCAAACGTGCAGTGGCGGGCTTCTTGTTACTGTCCCCTTCTGGTTTGTGGTTGAGGCTCCTTGTGGAGGGGCAGAGGAAAGGAACAATGAGGAGGGGACAAGGAAGGGCAGCTGTGAAGAGCAAAAAGTGCACCACTTGCCCCCTTTTCCAAATCCCTGGGAAACAGTGCCATTATTATACCCATTTTACAGGTGGGGAGGTTCAAAGAATTGCCACAGAGCGATAAGGACCTGAGGCAGGCTTCCAGGAGCATCCCTCTGCTCAGAGTGGTGTGTGCTGCCCTGAGGAGGCTGTCAGAGCCACTCCAGGCAAAAGTGGTGGGAAGGACCATCCACAGGACAGATTGCCAGCTTCCAGAAGGGAGGAGGACTAGAGGAGGAGGACATTGACAGGTCATTCGTAAAGCACTTTACAAACCTTCTCTTATTTAGGAGAAAAGCTAAAGGATGATAGCCTGTGAGAATGGCAGGGTCAGCTGAGAGGTTTTTAAGGGTCAAGGGGCGTGGGCATGTGATGGACAGCAGAGAACGGATCACTGGAAAGGAAGGCATTGAGGATGAGAGGGAGGAATGGCTGACGGGGCAAACTCTCAGAGGACACAGGATGGGATGGAGTTGAGGGCAGATAGAAGGGTCAGTCCTGGCAAGGAGGAGGCCCAGCTCTTTGTCAGTTTTTTAGAGACAGCAAGGATGGGTGAAGATGGAGGGGGTTCTGAGGTGAAGGCGAAGAGAGATGAGACCACGCACTTCTTTCTAACATAGGACACAGGGTCATCTGCAGAGAGAAAGAGGACTGGGTGGGGTCTTGGGGATTCACTAAAGGAGAAGAGTGCTAGGAGAAATGGGAGGAGATTTGACAAGTGAAGAATCGGAGGATTTCTGTACATGCCTGGGCCAGGCTTTGGGAGCCAGCTCTTACTATCCTCCTGCTAATGATTCCAGGGCTCTTCTCTTCCACCTTTCCCCTGCAAGGGAGGCCTTCTCAGGAGCTTGGCCAGAATGACTTGTTCCTGATCTTTGTAGCTGATTTTATCTTACCTGGCCTTAATCACTGAATGGGTGTTGCCTCAGACAAGCTGAGAGTTGGGAAACACCTTAGCTTAAAAAGGCCAAAGTGTCCCACTACATCTGGGGCCATCTTTAGTCATCCTGATCTTTATCTTGCCACTGAATCCTGATGGAGGCTGGTGACTTGACACACCCCTACCTCACTTAAATCCAGTTCACTTACAAGTCAAGACATCACTTTCCTGATGTCGTTGGTCCTCTTGGAGAATGAAGATCCCACTGTGTTTTCATGGAAGCACCTTTGGCTTGGCCTCAGTGGGAGGCCCTCCTCTTCTTGCCTCTTCCTGAAGTTTAATGAATCTGGTTCATATCCTAGTTCTGAGTGTCCCTTATGTCTGCACTGGTCTTAAGATAAGGTGCGTAAGATAAGATAACTTGAATTAAAGAGTATTAGGAAGTAGCCATGACCAAGGGTCTTTTAATCCATGCCAGGGGATCATAATCCAGCCACCACTCAGGAGTGTCCCTGAGTGGGGGGGTTGGGGGGGCCAGGAGTCTCTGGGATGGCGCAGCCTCAGGGAAGCTGTTACCTGCACATCCATAGAGAAGGCTGGGGGGGAGGGGGAGCTTCTGTGGTTTCAGTTGCCCTCAGGAAGTTCATAGTTCTGAGAACTGCCAGGTCTGCTCCTAGTCAGCTGCATTCTACACTTGCCAGGCGTAGAAAGGCTATATGGGTATAAATGTGACCCTCGATTTCCAAGATTAAGTAGCAGGGCTTCTGGGGATGGGGAACCTGGGTGCCGTGGTGGTTAGCTCCTGACCTGGATGTCCTAGAAGGAGTCGCCTGAGCTCCTTGGCCTCAGCTTCCTCTTCTGTACAGTGAGAGGTAACCGCCCCTGTGGTCTCTGAAGTCCCTTCTGGCTCTGGGATCCTGCCCATCCATAGAGGACCTTGGGCCTGGGTCAGCTGCCATTTCCCTCTCCTCCAGTACCTGCTGAGCTGGGCTGGGAGAAGGGGATTTCCACACTAGAGAGCTCCCTCTACTGGTGAAAGCCCAGGGCAAGACCAAAACAGTAAAATCTACGTGCGCTAGCTAAAGACTCATCTGAGTAGGAAGAGTTCAATTCAACATGTTTTCCCAGAGTACCGACTCTTCCATTCAGGAGAGGAGAGAAACATCTATAGTGCACCTGCTGTATGCAGGGCGCCGCACTAGGCGGACAGTCTTGGCTGCAGTGTGGCTTGCCTTCCTGAAGGGTAGGCAGGACTTCTGGATGCCCTGGTCCTCTTGGCGTTCTGGAGAAGCCAACCTGTGGCTTCTCCTCGGAAGAATGGTTTGTTGCTTGCATTCATAGTCGAAGGAAATGCTAAGTTTGGATTCGAGCTGAGAGTCTTAAACTGCCTGGGTGGTCAGTCTGGGGAAACCTCTGGCTCCCTCCCCAGAATAATGTTCTTAAATGCACAAGAATAAAATTCGTAGAAGAAGGAAGCCAATTATATTGAAATGCTCTTATAAAATAAAAAAATTATAAAAAACAATTTCAAGGTGGTTCCCCTCCCCCCCCATCTAAGGAGATGTGTCATTATGAACACAACTAAGTATAAGGTGATTTGAGGAAGAAGAAAGGACTGACTACTGAAGGGATCCATTTCCCCCGCCCCCCACTTTGTGTCAGAAATGCCCCGAGTCACAAACTTTTGGAAGCTAGGAGCTATGTTTGTGTAAATAAATACATTTATTTTTAATTCTTTAAATAAGATGTTCTGCCTTGATTGGGGCCATTGTATTTTAATTTGGCAGTCTTACAGTCCATCTTATAATCCATGTCAAAGATCTAGGCTCTGTGCCCAGCAGGAGATAAAGCGTTGCACAAATTAGCACAATCAGGCCTGAGGAGAGAGTACATAGAATCGTCCTTCTTCTCAGTAGGTGTCTGTGTGAGCTCATCCTAGCAGGTTTCCCCTCCAGGTTTCCCCGGGCCCTTCCCTGTGGCCTCAGAGGGTGAGGTGACTGGGCATTTTCTGTGGTCGTCTCATCGCCTCGGTGTTCCTTTCCTGTCTCCTTTGTGCTTCGTGTTCTTCCTTTCTCCCCATTTCTTGTCTCTCTCTGCAGTTTCTCCACCGGCAGTATCATCTCGTCATCCTTTTGTTGCGGGCTGAGAGCTTGAGAGGTTGTGACCCCTCAAAGGCTGAATTACAGGATGGGTCGTCTGGAATGAATTCACTGACTCAAGCATTCTTTAAGCGAAGGCGGCAAAGTTTATTGTTACGCTTTTCAGCGGGCAAGGATTCTTAAAGGATCCTGCAACCTTAGAGAGGTACAATTAAAGTTCATATAGGATAAAATACAATAAAACATGTGCCAAATGTGCCAACGAGGGGATTCAGGGTGGGGTTAGGGAGTGGTTAAGGAGTGGTCAGTTCTTAAAAGAACATGCACTTCTTGTACCTACTGTGCAGGCGTTTTACCCAGAATTCACTAGGAAAAGCCCACAAGGGGGGCCACATGGAGGTGTGGTTTTAAGCCTGCTATGTCACTAAGTCAACTAGAGTTCAGGGTAACTGAGAGTTGTCCAGTCTGCCACCAATCAATGTCTTGTTTGACAAGATAGATGTAGGGAGTATACATATGTCTTAAGTCTAGAATACAGTTAATGAGGAGCCCAGGATGGAGATAATGTGGTAGGGCGGTAGGATAGTATAGTAGTGGGTAAGAATGTCTTTATGACCCAGTGCAAAGCCAGTTTAAACTAATAAATCCTTCAGGTGCTGTTTGGAACTGCACCAGGGAGAGAGAGAAGGGTCTTGCTGGGGCCCACTCATGAGTAATTG